AAAATAAAATAAAGTGTCTTCCCTCATTTTAAACTCTGTCCCTTTTATTTGGTACTGGCGCTGACTGCTCATTCCAGCAGAACAGCAGTGCACACCCCTGGACATGATAATAGCAGTAGAGAAAGAAATCATGAGGTCATACTTTACAAGTTCTGTTTGTAGTTTGCCAGTACTGGAGATTGAACACAAGACCTCATGCATGCTAGGCAAGCATTCTACCAGAGAGCTCTGTCCTCAGCCCCTTTTTATATATTTATTTGTTGCTGAGAGAGGGTCTTTCTGAGTTGCCCAGGTTGGCCCCAATTTGCAATCCTTCTGCCTCAGCCTCTTGAGTAGCAGTGAGTACAGATGTGTGGCACTGTGCCTGGCTTAACTCCAGTTCTTAACATCCGGGTGTTTTTCCTAGTCTTCTCCCTTTCCATATTGTATTTCCTCAAAGAGTCAAAAATTTGGCTCCCACATATTCACTGGAGAATGCAAGCATGTTTCTAACTAAAACTCAGACAGCTAATGCTAGAGATGGGTTTTCAATGCATAGTATCCCAAACATAATAACTTTCCGTCTTCAGAGCATTGACCTTCCTTTTGTTTGTTTAAAATGCCCATGTGGATTTTACTAATAAAAACTAATAGTGCCAAGTTAAAGTCTGTAGTAGATTGATAACTGGTGGTCAACTTATAACCCCCAGCTGAACTGAGTGAGTGTGGCACTGGGTGTGGGAGGCCCACCTGGGGACTGTTGCCAGCAGCATAAGAGGCAGAACTGGAGAAGGAGAAGAAGGCTGTTGGGAGCTGAAAGAGGCTGTTGGGAGTTGGTAGAAGCTGTGGTGAGCTGGCTTTCCCGATGAACTTGGCTGTTTTCATCGTCTGAGGAGCTCGGGACCTCGCTGGCACTGAGAATGGCTTCGGTTCACTTTGGGGAAGCTCTGGTCCTCGTTTTGAGCATCGCTTCCTGGTTCCGGAGGGGAAGATGGTGCACTTCTGGCCTCCTGGAAAAGCTTGCTGTGTTGGCTTCCCTGATGGGAACTCAGCCATCCTGATCATTGGAGGAGCTCAGGACCTCACTGTTGCCGAGGATGGCTGTGGTTCCTTTTGGGGGAGCTCTGGTTCTTCTGAGCATCACTTCCTGGCTCCAGTGCAGATCCCTCAGC